ATAGGGACCTTAGATTGTAAGCTCTGGACCTAGAAATCAGTCTGTGGCTTGCTATCACAGTACACTCAGGTCTGGAAAGTGGCACAATACAGAGCCCAGTGCCCAAAGTTGACATACCAGGCTCAGGTGTTGAGGAAACCGTGATCTGGAAATCTATGTATAGGGACTAGCTTAAGCAGCTTGTAGGGAAGTCTTGACGGGAAGAAAAATAGCTAGCAAAAAGGTTAGATTCTATTACAGCAGAGCAGAGAAAAGACATCCATCCTCCTACATTTTAGCAACTGAGGTATGCTGGGAACAGGAGGGGTTATACCAGGCTGGTACTGTTTTTTGCCAGTGTCCAAATCTTCCTGTGGGTGGCAGTATAACCAACAGTCTATGAATTCCCGTGTCCCTCAATAAATGATAAACAAACTAATTTACTGTTACAAAACAATAAAACAAAGTGAGAACAATGGCGTGATCGTGAAAGCAATTTTAATCGAAAATAATACATACAATTTAAAATAAATAATGATAAATGCAATACATTTTGTGAGTTTATCTAACCAGTCCAGTTAAAGTGACACTATACTCAGGAGTTAAATCTTAAAAATACATTCAAGTACCTTAACTAATAACAGGAATGTATCTTATTTGTGTATCACTCGGCTGTAGATCCTCCAATCATCTCTGAATTGGTGCTGACACTGTCCTTCCTTCTGGAGGTTGGCTACTTTTGTTCCCCATGGTCCCTGAGTGTGTTGTAAAGTAGTCTCCGCTCCAAGCTCACTCCCATGATGGACTACAATCTCAATACAAATTAGAAAACTAAACATGAGATTGTATTCCATCACGGGAGGGAGCTTGGAGCGGTGGCTACTTTACAACACACACAGGGACCAATGGGAAGAAAAGTAGCCACCCTCCAGAAGGAAGGACAGTGTCAGCACCAATTCAGAGATGATTTGAGGATCTACAGCCGAGTGATACACAAATAAGATACATTTTAATTAATAGTTCAGGTACTTGAATGTATTTTTAAGATTTCACTCCTGAGTTTAGTGTCACTTTCAAGTTACGATTCTGTTTGAGATTGTAATGTGAATTTTGACAGGCAATGGAGTTAAAATATTGTTTTAAAAGTTGTCAAAGACATGAAGTGAAACAAGTTAACAATTCCCCCTCCTTCCCTTGCAATAGAAGATAAACTAAGGGTTAGTTCACACCATAAGCACTGCGTTCGGGTCCAATTCTGGCCGGAACGCACTGCCTCGCATTGCGGCCAGCTCACTTTTTTGCTGGGCTGGAGGAGGCGTGACGGGCCATTGAAGTGAATGGCACCGTAGCCACGCCCTCCGGCCGCAATGCGATCGCCCGCGCGGGATTGCAAGGCACAGTGTGCCTGCAGTGCGGTCCGGTGCGATCAAAATGCTGCAAGCACTTTTTTGATCGGACCGCATTGCAGGCACAATGTGCCTTGCAATCCCGTGCGGGCGATCGCATTGCGGCCGGAGCAAAAAAGTGAGCCGGCCGCAATGCGAGGCCAGAATCGGGCCAGAACGCACTGCTTATGGCGTGAACTAACCCTTATACACAGAGCAGCGTCTGACACCCTGAAAAACATTGTTTCTCTTCATATCACAATCAATCGATTTATATTTAAAATTGTGTATAAATAATTGAATCAGCGCACTGATTCTCTATCAGCAGTTTGGCAGTTACATAAACTTGCATGCACCGTAACCAATTAACATTTGTAATGTGGAGCGCCGGGGGGAGGCAGTCCGAAAGCAAGGTCTCCAGTGGTCACCACAAAGCCCCTTTCTTTCTCTTTCCCCCTTTTTTTAACATTTGTAATGATTTATCCTGACCCTAGAACTCATGTAGCGAAATCTCGCTCAGTACATTCAAGCTGCTGAAAACAGCAAGTTAGGCCCCTTTCACTCTGGCATTCCAATCAGGTCCAGTTTCTCAGGTGGATCTGATCTAGAGCTCGATGTTAGTTTATGGACAGCTGGATCAAGACAGACAGGCATCCATTTATATCCAGTTACCAGTTACTCCAGCTAGGTCCGGAAAAACACACAGATCAGAGTTCCATTTTGACGAACCTGACTATGCAGGTAATCTGATGTAAAAGTGTAAAAGACACATATACGTGTACATCCATTTCACTATACACCAACATGGGTCCAGTAATTTCATTTTTTTTCCTCCAAGGAGAACTGGACAGACATGGATATCACAACGGTACAAGGGCCCCCTGTGGATTGGAACTGAAGTCGCCTGAGTGAAAGGAGCCTTAAAGGAGAACTATGGGGGCAACCTTTTTTCCCATAATTCTTTTCAGGGTCACGGGAGGACATATACTAATATCCTCTGGTGTCCCAAAACTCAGTATTTGCCCGCTATATGCTGAGAGCGCAGAGCCGCGCTGCAGCCGGCATAGATCCCGACAATACTGTCGAGATCCCCCCCGCTGGCTGATTGACAGCTGGCTCTGCCTCTCTAGAGCCAGAGACAACTGTGCCCGTCCTTTCCTCCAGTCAGCGCTGGAGGAACAGAGAGGGGAGGGGGTTATCCCTGCGGGGAGCGTGACTGACAGTCACCGCTCTCTGCAGGGAGAGGATCGGGAAGTCAGCGATCAGTGGTATGTGTTTGCTGACTTCCCGATTAATAGAGCTGACCTGTGACAGCTTCAGTGTCACAGGTTGGCTTAAATCATGGGGATGAGTGTTTTTCACGCACCCCATGATTCTCCTTTAAGGTTTAACACCAGGCTTGAGCCACAAATAAATATTGGTAGCCCCTCTGCATGCACATAATATATTGCTTGCTTTTCCTAGGAGGTTTAACTAGAGACAAATTCTCATCTATACATCAGTCCCGCAATAACCATTGCTCGAGTCTTCTCTGCCAACTGGAATGTGGGTGGACCACAGATATTATTCCGTGCAATGCAAGACCATTGGTTCTGCACTGAATATCATGATGTTAGTGAGGGGATGGGGGCAGAACCAACAAACAGTAGCGGCAATGGGGCAGTGGTCATCTGTGGTGGAGGTAAGTACGGTAAGCACTGCACTCTACTAAGGATCCCCTAGACAAAACAAGTAATATATACAGTATATGCAGGAGGGGGTCTACCAACATTTTTTCTGCTGGAATTTGGGACGTGTGCACCAATGAAAATTGAAGGCTCATATGGCTCAATCCAAAGGGCTAAGACAGTTGTTATCTTTAAGCAATGAGATCCAAGAAAAGCTGAAAGCAACAATCACACAGCCAAGAATATTGATAATTATGGCATATAACATATGTATTATGGCTTATTAGTGAATTTACCCTATAGCGTAGTCATTTATTAAAGCTGAGCTCCAGGCAGACAGCTGAATAACCATTTAAAATACAATATGGCAGCTGTTTTATCTGTCAAATGATTTCTAATCTTGTACAAATACAAACATTCCTGAGATTTACAAGTCTTGCCGGATAAGTGACCAGTTTTTTCTCTAATGAAGTTACAGCAATACAGCTTGGTCACCTCCCAGCCTGTGAATAATCACTCTTAAGAACAATCAGAACAGTCATGGCTGAGTAGAACTCGCTGAAAGCTGGCCATACATCAAAAGAATTCTGTTTGAAAAAAGTCAGGGTTAAATTAATGATCGACTATAGCGATTAGAAAAATCAAACAAAATTTTAACAGTGCATTTGATTTTAGTTTGAGAAACTCCATTCATTCCAAAATCAAAACTTAAAATCAAATGAAAAATCAACAAAATTTCAAAGTACATTCTACAAGTCTTGTATAGCATTTTCGAATGTTCTGATTTTTCGTATGAAGGTTTGTTAAAAAATCTGCCAGTGTAAGGCCAGCTTTATTTCAAAGAAACAGCATCAGCTGCAGTGGTGTCCCTAGCTGTTTTGCTACCTGAGGCAGAGGGTGCTGCATGCAATCAGAGCAGTGGGAGGTGGATAGAGGAGACAGCGCCGCCAGACATGACAGTAATGCCACTCTCTGCAGGCTCCAGCGCTTAGCAATCTGGGACCCTTTGGCCGGCGTCTTGAGATGCCGGCCAGAGCATCCCAGGTTGCTGGGCGGTGAGATGCGTATGGCCTTTACACATCTGAAAACATTGTGCTATGCCGCTCTGCCTGCTGCCACCCACGTGACCCAAAGAGATGCTGCTTTCAGATATTCTAAAAATACTTTTCTCTTTATCTTCCCCTTCCCCCAGCTATCTTACCTGCACAACAAAACCTACACACAAAAAAATATATAAGTTTTCCTTATTTAGAAAAATGTTTAAAATGCTGATAAATACTGTACTACATATACAATGAACCATTGGCTTATGTCTCTTTTTGCCAATAATGTAGTTTTGCAGTACCACTTCTGACCAGCAGATGGCAACACAAACACTTTCCTCATTTACAGTGAACTTGTCATTGAGGCAAAATGTAAAACTAATGCAAGTCCCTAGGAGCAGGCAGCTAATACCACACATCCCCTGGCATCCCAAAATGCTATTTACAGGTAATCCTGGTTTTAACCATCACTTTGCTTTAAGGTGTCATAATAACAGAAGTCCAGCTTATAATGTGCTATTTACAATCCCTACAAGTGGCCTAAATTAATTACATGTTGTACATGTTAGACAAGATATATGACGAGTTACACAAGAGGAATTGTTATCTACAGCCTTGGCTCTGACTTTGTTCACAGCAAGACAGCCATATAGTTTAGTACTTTGCAGCTGTCAGAATTCACAGGAAGCAGAAGGAGGCAAGTTTCTTAAAAGCCACAATCCACAATGTAAGTGATAGCAGGAAAACATGACCTCGCAGGAGATGTTGTATGTTCTACCAAGAAGCTCAGGAGGGGAAGGACAAATCTATAAGGAAAACAGAAAGCCCACTTAAGACAGACTGTTGTACCCCTCCTTCTCTCTGTGGTATCCAAGACCTATTGGAAACAAGCTTAGAAATGTAAAGTCCCATTGAGCTCAAATCCTCCAACATCCTCAGTCTGGTCACAATTCAGATTCCACAAGGTCTGTGATCTCTCTCATAAGTCGGCTGAAGCATGGACGCATGTCTGCTTTCTGTTGTGAGATAAAGAAAACGGAAATTAACAGTACTTCTGGGTAAAACCCACATAGGTGTGAATCGATAGAAATATTGGTAATACCTGCTTTGTGATATATGAATTAAATAGATAAAGTTATGATGGAAAATTGGAATAATTACTCATTGAGAAACCATTTATATTGTTATCGTTAACGTACTGACTAGATGATAATATCTGTCTCATCTTTTCCCCTCCAGAAGCATTTTCCTAACTATGAAAGCCAGTGATGGTAATAGATTAATGATCTGTGGGAGTCATTCAGGGCTTGTGAGGGTCTCAGAGATGCCCCCTCACTTCCGAACTTCCTACTTTTCTTTCATATCTCCACTCACCTCCTCTTCTTCCATTGCTTTGTCCCTCCGTTGATGTCTCTTTATGTATTACAGAGTAAGGGTGCATCATGTTCCCGTTGGCTGTTTTCAAATGCTTGATGGCCAAACTACTGTACCATCAGTTGGATACAATGAGCTACCTTGAATCATTTATGTTACACTCTGTAATGTGTTGTTTTTCTTTGAAATGCTTGTTTACTCTTGTTTTATTTTTTAAAAAATGCAAAAAACTACTGTGAGGATTTACCAACCTTTATATAGCATATTTATGTGTCTCGATAGTTATTACAAAACATATGAGGAAGTTGGGAGTGGAGGGGTGATAGGCTGCAAAAGTTTATCTTGCTAGTCGGCCCCACTGGCTCTCACAATACCTGAACAATCTGATTGGATGCAGGCATTGTTCAGGTGTTATGAGAGCCAGCGGGGCCGACTAGCAAGATACTGAAGCTTGGCACAGTGGGAGATTCCTCCATCCACACAGTTTAGTGTAGATGGAGGAATCTCATCTGACCATAGAAAATCTGCAGATAATCTATAGGTGTATGGCCAGCTTAACCACCTTCCGTCCATGGCCGTTCCGATCGCTTGAAGTAGCTGCAGGTGTGCGGACCCCCCCTCCTGCCGCCGTCGCCGCCGGTCCCGAGATCCGCTGTGCCGGGTGCGGCTGGGACCGGCACGACGCTGTCAGTGGAGATCAAAGGGAGAGCAGTACACAACCTCCCTTTGACCTCCTCTCTGGTCCCTGAATGCAGGAAGTGATGTATATTACATCACTTCCTGCATTTAGTGTCACTCTCCAGTTACAGATGGCGGTGAGAAGCGGATGAAGCAGATCTCTGCTTCATCAGCTTCTCTGGGGTTCCCTAGGTGACATTAGGGGTCTTAGAGACCCCTGATGTCTCCATAAAGAGGACCTGTCATGTGAACTGGCTTTCACGTAGTGGATTTCTTAGTCCCCTATGTGAGAGCAATAAAGTTAAAGGAGAACTATGGGGTCAAGGCTTTTCCCCATAGTTCTCCTAAGGGTAACAGGAGAACACAAACTAGCGTCCTCCTGCCATACAAAGCTCAGTATAACGCGAGCTACAGCTCGCGGAATACTGAGACGCCACAGCTGGAACGAATCCCGACAATTCTGTCTAGATCCACCCAACTGCGTGAGTGACAGCTGGCTCTGCCTATCAAGAGGCAGAGCCAGCTGTACCTGCCCCCTCCCCCTTACGTTCCACCAGTCAGCGCTGGAGGATCGGACAGGGGAGGGGGGAATCCCTGCAGGGAGCCGTGAGTGACAGTCACAGCTCTCTGCACGGATAGATCGGGAAGTGAGCGAGCGCCGGTATGTGTTCGCTCACTTCCCGATCTACTGAGCCGACCTGCGACAGTTTTATTGTCACAGGTCGGCTCCGATTATGAGGCTGAGTGAAAATCACTCGCCTCATAATTCTCCTTTAAGTGTAAAAAAATAAAGTTTAAAAAGAATTAAAGCTTTAAAAAAATAAAGAAGCTAAACAAAAATAGTCACAAATCAAAAAAAAATTTACGTCCCCCGCCCCCCCACATACACATGCAAACATGCGTCAGGTGCGCCAATGTGCGAAAACGACGATTCCGCCTATTGTGCCACACGTTACATATCGCCGCGCACGTTGGAATGAGAGCAATAAGTTTAGGGCCATTAATTACTGATAGCACTAAACTGATGAGCAGTAAAAGCTTTTAAAGTGTCGCCTATGGCCAATTTTGGGTGTGGTCGTTTTCTGCGATTTCGCGGACATGCGCAATTTTAAAGCTTGACATGTTTGGTGTCTATTTACCCGACATGACCACATCTTTTATATTTTACCAAAAAATTGGGGTGATAATAAATGTTTCATAACATTTCATAGGGAAACTGTTTTTTTAATATAAAAACCCCAGTGGTGATTAAATAAAACCAAAAGAAATCTCTATCTGTTACCAAAAAAATGGTATAAAATTCATTCCAGCACAGCGGAATAAATGTCAGTCAAAGTACTGCAGCGCTGAATACTGAAAAATGGCCTGGCCAGGAAGGGAGTGTAAACACCTGGTCAGCAAGTGGTTAAAGGAGGTAGTTTCAATAAAGGTGTCTGATAAAATGAAAATCAGCTAGAATTGGAATCCTTTCTAGCTGTAAAAGGGAAATTGTTATTACTGTATTTTTTGTTTTTTTAACTGGTTCCTATAGCTCAGCACATGTTTCAGTCTGACTGTACAATTACCTTTAGATCTACCTACTATGTAGTGCAAGTGCCTGCTTTATTGGATACAAATTGTTTGGATAGATTAGGTAGGTCCTCATATTAGATCATTCTGGTAAATCTAATTGTACAAAGATTTTTGCGGTCAGATTGTAACATGTATGCTGACCTTAAGTATAGCTTATAAATAAATGTGTGCCCGTGAGCAGCCATATCTGTTCATTTGATATGCAAGATCTCCTTCCTGCTTAGTAGTGCTTCTGCTTCTCTCAATGACACAAGGTCATTGACACTGAATTATATTTGTGATGTACATTAGCTCTGTACGTACTGTCATATTCTGTGAATATTTTAATACATTTTTTTGTTAGTGAATTACATTAGATTTGTATCTGGACTATAAATAACAACGTTATGCATTTTTATTGATATGGTGATACTTCTTAAAGGAGAACTATGGGGTAAGCGTTTTTCCCCATAGTTCTCCTAAGGGTCACGGGAGGACACAAACTAGCGCCCTCCCGTGACCCGAAGCTCAGTATATCGCGAGCTACAGCTAGCGGTATACTGGGACCGCCGCAGCCGGGACGGATGCCGACATTACTGTCGAGATCCACCCAGCTGCGGGATTGACAGCTGGCTCTGCCTATCTAGATGTAGAGCCAGCTGTACCCGCCCCCTCCCCTGTCTGTTACACCAGTCAGCGCTGGAGGATCGGAGCGGGGGAATCCCTGCAGTGAGCCGTGAGTGACAGTCACGGCTCTCTGCAGTGACAGGATCAAGAAGTGAGCGAGCGCCAGTATGTGTTCGCTCACTTCCCGATCTATTGAGCCGACGTGTGATAGTTTCATTGTCACAGGTCGGCGCGAACTATGAGGTTGAGTGAAAATCAATTTCCTCATAGTTCTCCTTTAATGCCACAATTAAAGTCCCCATTTACTTAGGGTACAAATAAAGTACATGTATAGTGAAACATTTTTTTTATTTCTTGATGGAATAGGGTAATGGCAAAACCCCTGTCAGGTTATTTTTCGCTGTCTCTGTCCCGTTGGGAAGATTACACTTTGAATTCTGTCATAAGGATGCAACAGAGAGTAAGGGGAATTCCCCTCTTAGCTGTCATCGGAACAAATGTCCCCATGAGGAAATGTATCCTCACCTCTTGTCCTGATGACAACTTTATAATTTTGTTTTATAACTCTGTGATAATACTCACTGGGACAAATACAGAGGGTGACCCTTCCTACTGGGTACACAGACAACAATAAAACCTACTCCATCCAAAACAAAAATAGCTATACATATAATTTAATTATTACCAATAATTGTTTACTTACAAATTAATATTGTAAGGCAAAGATGAAAATAGTCAACATCATAAATATTATTCACTACCTGTTGTGCTCCTTTATGGCTGTAAAGGCTGTTGAAACAACCAGAGTCTCTTAAACAAAATGTTTAAGGCTTGCTACTTTTCACAGGTGTATGTAGAACAGTCTACAGATAATGTACCTACAACTGACAGCAGACTGTTCATACAAATACTGTGGGGGGAACATATCAAAACTGGAGCAACTCTGCTCCAGATTTTGTCTGCTACAGTTTTGATAAATCCCCACCATGTATGTCTAGTGTCTCGAGTTCCTGTATGGTAACAAAGCACAATCTGAACTGTCTCTGTCTCATAACCCTCTTACCTCCTGCCAGCAGCTGAGCATGAGATGGTACGCTTTTTCTGTGGCCAGTTTAGGCTTGAAGAGTCTCAGTCCAGATGATACTTCCTTCACAGTGTCTGCATTGCTAAGGTGTTCGAAAGGTGTCTTTCCTTCACTGAATATTTCCCAAACCAGCACACCTGCATAGGAAGTAGAATTGAGCAATGTTAGCCAGAGAGTAACTAGCTATACAGATTTCAAATGATTTAAACTATCTTTAGGTTCTCTCTTGCTTGTATTAAACTGGACTTATACCAAAACAAACTTCATGCTTACACCTGGGCATAGCTAGAAACAGTTTTCTTCAGTGGCGGACTTAAGAAACAAAGGGCCCCGGTGCAAGATTTTTTTCGCCCCCCCCCCACTAACCCTGCTAACCACTAAAGAATTAATTTGCAAAATCTTGAGGCAATGTAAATAATGAAGTGTGGCCCCTTTGAAAATATATACCAGACAGGGCTGCACTCATATACTGGACACCCCCGCAACAAGACACCCTGCAGCACATTCGCCCACCGCCTCCCTCTCCCCTCGCGGCCGTTCAGTCCTCCATTCAGACTCACCCGGTATTGGATCCAGCGTCACGGCCACACAGTGTGCAGGGGGCGGGGCATGCGACACACACTCTCCTCTCCTGCCGTCTGTTACTAAGGACGCGGCCGGAGAGGAGGGGAGTCATAGGACCTGCCCCTTTGCTCAGAAGCTCCTGTGCCGGAAAAAGTGATCGCCACCGCCGCGGCCAACTTTAAAGGGCGCCGCGGCCGACTTTAAAGGGCCCCGCTCAGTCCCCTCTGCCCAGTGGCCACAATCCCCGGGAGTGGATCTCAGTGGGCCCTCCCCCAGCCTTGGGCCCCGGGCGGCGGCACCGGCCGCACCGCCGGTAGTTCCGCCACTGGTTTTCTTCTTACACTCAGGGCATACGTGCAGGATGGTCTTTATTCTCTATGACCGGGTATGACACATGCAAATCGTAGCAGAACTGAAAACTGGATCAGAATGCCACAGGTTGTAAAAACCCTCCCCAGCCTGAGCAGGTCACAGAAAATATGAAAAATATTGCTCAAAAATCTTAGGTACAGACAGGCCACTTGCATTTTCAGAAAGACAACATCATTGCCAACAGTAAATGGAATTGCTAAGTAAAAACCATACCATAAGCCCACACGTCTGATTTGCTGCTGTAGCGTGCATACTGGAAGACCTCTAGAGCTGACCATTTGACTGGAAATTTACTGCCTGATGAGCTGGTGTACTGGTCATCTAGCACAAATCTAGAAAAATATAAATAGGTTGATGAAGTATCTAAAAAGTTATGGACAACTCAGGGTCCTCAAAAGAATGGCTAACATTCAAAGGTTTCCCATATCAAATCCAAATATACATTGCATAGAGCACTGGAGAGCAGAGTAGGAAAAGGGTATTTTAAAGCATTTCAAAGCACAATAAGCCACAAATTAAGACATACGAGGGGAACGGGATTATAAAGAGATCACAAAGAGTGAGATTTTAGTTAAGTTTTAAAAACTACTATGGTCAAACTATAAATTTGCATACAGGTGAAACTCGAATAATTAGAATATTGTGCAAAGTTCATTTATTTCACTAATGCAACTTAAAAGGTGAAACTAATATATGAGATAGACTCATTACATGCAAAGCAAGATAATTCAAGCCGTGATTTGTCATAATTGTGATGATTATGGCTTACAGCTCATGAAAACCCCAAGAACCCCAAATCCACAACCTCAAAAAAGTAGATTATTACATGCAATCAATAAAACAAGGATTGTACATAGAACAATATCGGACCTCTGAAAAGTACAAGCATGCATATGTACTCAGTACTTGGTTTGGGCCCCTTTTGCAGCCATTACTGCAATTACTTTTGCACAATATTCTAATTATTCGAGTTTCACCTGTATGTGTTATAGGCTGTCCATACCAGTAAGACTGCGGTCTGCCTCTGTTACCCCCTGGAAAATTTTGTAACTGGTTGATCCAGCCAGTAGAACTATTGGATAGACACTTCCTTGATATGGTGACAATGCTGTTTCATCTGCAGTAAAATCACTGCTGCCTTGTCACTCTCGCTGCTGCAGCTGCTCAAATGCTGATACAGTTGATAGTTCTAAAAAAAGGATAGTCACGACTAGCTTCGCATACAGCCCTTTACATTGTCAGCACGTTGCTCTGTCTGCAGAAGCTTAGGATAATGTAAAAGTCCTGGTCAGTCCCTTAGACCCTCCTCCAGAACTGTCTTTGGATTTCTTACATGGCAACTTGCATTAAAATGCTTGTTTATGAATGGAAATAAACTAGAGGCTTTAGATGGACTTTATCTCTTCCATGGTGGGTCTCCTTTATTTGCATGGAAAACGTAATGGTGGCCTTACACATCCTGCTAGTTTCAGGCAAAGCAACAGATTTGAGAACCACCTAAGACCAACATATAACTCTCAGATGGCATACTGTTTACCGGAGAGCAAGACTGAGTGCTTCCGAGTGCCAGGATGGATCATTATTAGAGTTTTCCCAACATATAGGAATGTCTTTGTGTAAGTGGACACCAATCATTCCTTTACTCTATACAAAATTAAACGAATGGTTCATACCCAGGTCCACACTGCACCTCCAGCTCACAGCCGGGTTTGGGAAATGCTTGAGATGGATGTGGGAAAGACATCTGCCAAAATATGGGGTGCCTTATTAAAATAAAACATGCCATAAACAATCTGAGTAGCCCATTTACCTGGTCATGCCAAAATCTGACACTTTAACCACCAACGACTCTCCAACCAGACAGTTCCGTGCAGCCTGTGAAATATTAATACTCAGAGTTACATATAGGTATGTAGTGTGAGGACTCTCCAAATATTGTGAGGGATATAATGTACGTAAGATACAAGGATAATGCAAGTAAGATACTTACATTATCATAAGGCAAAGTACAGTAGCCCACTGCAACCAATCATCTGCCAGATTTAGACATCACTCTTATGGATGACGGGTTCAGGCAAATTGTAACGTGTACAATGAGTAGGGTAGAGCACAGGTTCAGTCCCAACTAAGGTTCGTCCGAATGTAGAAGGAAGTTTTCAGGGCCGGCCAATCATTTGCAGCCAGGTCATCCCCTGCCCCAACAAAGTGGTGCAATGCTTGTGACATTATTGACCTTTTTTGGCCACATGGCCACATTAGATCAATGTCATTGATCATTATGGTCATGTGGTCATATAAGGTCAATGATGTCACAAGCATTGCACCACTTTGTTGGGGCTGGGAATGCCCTGGCTGCAAATGATTTGCCGGCCCTGCCAACTTCCTTCAAGAGTTCAGACAAGTTCAAATTTGGCCCGAACCTGAGCTTTACCCTGCTCACCATACATGTTACAATTTGTCTGTACGATATTTAGACAATCTGCTTTAGATTTACCAAAGCTATGTAAAATAATGATCTACCTAAACTTGTCAACAATTTGTATCCAGTCAGGCAGACCCTGCACTACATAGTTCTTAGAAGGAGATTGTGAATATGATTGTATAGATTGTGAGATTGTAACATATGTGACAAGCTTAAATTTCTGAACTCAATTGTTTAATTGGATACATTTAATTGGCTGCTATGGGTTACTGGCCTTTGGCCGTACAGATAGATAGAGGTGGCGATGCAGTGGCTCTTACTAGGTCTCTGTGAATAAAATTAGAAGCCTCCAGATATTCCATGCCCTCGCAGACATCCTGGCACATCCCGAGAGCTACACTCCTTGACAGTGTCCCCTTGTTCCTGCGCAGGTAATCATTCAGACTGCCATGTTCCATATACTCAAACACAAGAAAGATTGGCATTTGTTGGGTGTATACACCAAGTAGCTGCACAAGTTTTGGGTGACACATTTTCCTGTTGAAAAGAAAGAGATAAAGAAGAGAAAGGAACAAAATATTTAGCTGAGTGGTCTTTGCAAGATGTGTCCAGGTTTGCAACTTTCTCTGAATTGCTTTATGTCTACTACACTTTACAAACATAGCCAATTAGTTACTGGGAGAGCCAATCTAAATCTATTCCTTAATCACAATGTAGAAGGCAGAGGCAATGTGCAAGGGGCAGTAAGCAACAGCACATTAGATCAATAGAGAAATTATTTTTTTAGGATGCAATGGGTTACGGCAGGTTTCAAATTGCCATACATATACAGGGTTATTCACAAAAGGGTGAAGAGTTTGGAGAAGGCAGGAGAAGTGAACAATCTAGGACAACATAGCTGATTAGGAAAAAATCTCCAATTCAGCTCACTTTCCAGTTCAGCTATGTTGTCCTAGATTGTTCACTTCTCCTGCCTTCTCCAAACCCTTCACCCTTTTGTGAATAACCCTCATAGTCTTATAATGTTTTTGTTAACTTGATTACAGTCGTTTATTAAATATGTCCATCTGCTGGCTCTTTGCTTTGCATCTGTGCACATACAGTATGTGTGCAATGCCTAGTCTCTATTTCTCTATTTCGAACATGGCCCAGTTCCCGGATATTCCATATCCACTGTATGGGAAACACCTCCACAAAATTCTGCATTGTGCTAAATTTTGTAACCGTTCCTCACATCAAAACTTGCGCTTCCTCCACAAAGTCTTCATCTGACATCATCCCTTCCCGAATCATCTTCACAGCAACTTTTCTGGTCCCTTGCCAAGATGCCAGCTTTACCACTCCGAACTGTCCACTGCCAATCTCCTGAATGAACGTCAGGTGGGTGGGATCAATCTCCCATTTACCTGTGAACAGAGAAAAACGGATTACATGTATCTGAGGCACAAGCAACAATAATACTGAAGAATTTGTGTAAATAAAGACTTGTCTTTGGTAAATACATGAGACCTGATGGGTACAGCACACAGCTACCCAAACTAGGGAATGTGGTAAATCTTGCTCTTTTCTCTGTTAATCCAATGTAAGGTAAAGATGGAATTTAGAGCTTTTTAACTGATTTGAATAAATCTCAATATATATATTGAAAATATATCTTTGCCATTAAGCCAGCAGATACAGAAGCCTGATCTGGCCATCAAGACATCAAGTCTTACATTTTACTTTGCATGCTGATCCATCAATAGTAGTATTGTCAAACAAAATATATTTATAGAGGGGGCTCACCATAGCTCAGTCCAGCTGTGACAGGGGTTTTCTCCTTCCAGCAACAGACAGGAAATCGGAGCCGTGACACCAGACCTGTGTGTATCAAAGACAATGAATGGTAATTTAAAAGGAATCCATCTATCTATCTATCTATCTATCTATCTATCTATCTATCTATCTATCTATCTATCTATCTATCTATCTATCTATCGTCCTACTAAATGATAATAAATGATATACATACCCCCTGCGTTGTGGTGGTGGTAGTTGATGAGTTGGGGTATAGTTGGAAACAGAAACTTCTCAGCCACATAGTATTTCTGAGGAGAGTCATTTGTTTGCTGGATATGATAATGCTTCACTGTGTGAATTCCTTCTCTGTAAGAAAAATAGCAGCACAAACAAGTAAGGACACACTAAAGAAACATGCTATTTTCGCTATAACATTACTATTGCCACCAATTTCTTATGTAATGTTATTTAAAATGGCCATTGATTTCTCTTTTTTACGTAATAAAGGTTTGTTAAGATTTTCAAATACAAAGTACAAAAGTAAAACAAAGGCAAACCCTACTCAAGTGTGGTGTGTAGCACAGTATGAGACCCTCGGGGAGAACGTCTCACCACCATTGTCGGGATGCAAATGAACTGCTACAAAAAGCGAATGGTATCAGCCAAGTTCCCATTGGGCATGGGATATAAAATTGATTTAGATACACTTGAAGGCTGGCCTGTAAGGGATGAATGGAAGGATGTGTAAGCATTTGGAGAATTCTGGTGCATAAAGGTTGGACCTTATAGAATAAGGGGATAAGTGGGGCATTCTGGATCTATATGTCAATGAACTGTTACGTCACATACAGAAGCACGATATGCACAATTAGGTAGTTTGTTATAGCAGATAAATAGTAATATTACCCTAGCGACTTAGTGAATATGGATACAGTGTACACTCCTGGCTGTCTTGAGTCCCGCACCATAAAAGCACCTTCTTTTCCCTGTGTCAGAACATCATAAAAATAAATTAAATAAAACAGAACACCAGAAGAAGCATACAACAAATAATAAGCAATATTGGATTTTTCTAAAATGAAATCAGCCTAATGCATATTGATTTTTTGGAAAATGGTGTTATCTTATACAGCCAATCAGATTTCAGTTGACTGCAGACATAGGAAGAAAAAGACAAATGCTGATTAGTTGCTAGAGCGTACTGCACGTTGTACATAGTCAGCAAACATCCCCCTGTTTATTGAATTGCCCTCTATATATCTATCTAAAATACAAAAGCTGAATAATGAATTGAATGTCTGAACCATGACTTATGAAAACATACCAAGTGAATAGCTGGTACGGGACAAAATGGCCGCCCTTATCAATTACCAACTGCATTACATACTGCTGTTGGGGCATGCATGACTTCGGGTAGTACACATTATTCTTCTCAATACATTATGAGGTTTTCCCCAATATTAATAATAAATGTGTTATGCATTGTTTTAGTAACCTTATGATCAGGGGCGTAACTTTAGATCATGGGGCCACATAGCAAAAATGTGATGGAGGGCACCCCCAACGACCTCTCTCTGAGCTGTCACCTTCGACACAAAGATCCCAAAGGCTCCTCTTGTGCATCAGACATCAGCTTTCCTACACTGTAGACTTTACAGAGGATTAGGGTTGTCATCAACTACTCCAAACCCTAATGATACGTTACTATGTTATCTTCACATGTTCTATATTTAATTTGCCTCACCGCCTGGGTTGCTATGGCTTTAGTTACGCCACTGCTTATGATCATGTGAATATCCTGCTTACAAAAATAGGTTCACCATTTACAATTTTTTTAACATAAAAATATTATAAATTTTTTTTTAAAGTTTAACTACTAAGTGTTGATCTGTGTATTGTCAGCTTCGTTTTAGTATAAATTATGTTATTAAAGTTAAATCCTCCTTACATTTTGCGATTTCTCTCACCACCTCATCAACATGCTCATAAAATTCAAAAACGAAAACCTTTCTGTTTTCATACCTTCTCCTTAATTGCATACTTTACCTTATTTTAAACCTAATGATGTAATCACTAGGTGTCTATGCTTCTCTATGCTATGCAGGCAGCTCATGGTCACTGGGAGGGTCTGGCGGGGTGCTGTACCTATTTCCTGAAAACAGCACCCTGCCTTAGTACTCACCCTGCCTCAGTACATTCAAGAGCCCCCTCATCTCTGATGCAAACAGTGGACTGGCGCTTTAGAGGAGTTTTATATATATATATATAGATATATATATATATAGATATATATATATATAGATCTATATATATATATATCTATATATATATAGATATATATATATATAGATCTATATATATATATATCTATATATATATAGATATATATATATATAGATCTATATATATATATATCTATATATATATAGATATATATATATATAGATCTATATATATATATATCTATATATATATAGATATATATATATATAGATCTATATATATATATATCTATATATATATAGATATATATATATATAGATCTATATATATATATATCTATATATATATAGATATATATATATATAGATCTATATATATATATATCTATATATATATAGATATATATATATATAGATCTATATATATATATATCTATATATATATAGATATATATATATATAGATATATATACTGTATATCTATGTAATATCATATGAAATATGCATATGATATTATGAATTTTATACATAAATCATGTAATTTTGAGCCAATCTTATCAGACTTTTCAATACTGATTATGATGTTTGTGCATGCATATCTTTATCCCTGAGGAAGGGGTTCCAAAACGCTTTCAGGGTGAAAAGTTTGGAGAAGGCAGGAGAAGTGAACAAATAGGACAACATAGCTGATTTAGAAAAATTCTCCAATTCAGCTCACTTTCTAGTTTAGCTATGTTGTCCTAGATTGTTCACTTCTCCTGCCTTCTCCAAACTCTTCACCCTTTTGTGGATGACCCTGTTTGTCTGATTTTCCGATTTGCTGAATAAAATCACTCTGGATAAGAACTTTAGACCTAAAGTTCTTAAATTCACATTTCCATGAGAACCCAGATACAGTTCTTGTATATTTGTACAGAAGCAATTCACCCAACCAGGTCTATCTTCATTCAGGAAAATGTATCCCTACCATTACTTTGACTTAGGGGAAGCGATATACTAACATTAGATGAAAACTGGTGTTTACCAACATAGCTTCAGCAAAAGGCACATGGGAATCGAAATCAAACATGACTTTTATTTTTAAACCAGAATTCCTGCCAAAGCTTCTTATAATATAATGCATAGAAAGCTAGAACTTGCCTGATCAATCAGAAGCCTTTCAGCTTGGTTCCTGCTAATATTTCTGTTGTACCATCTGAAAACAAAGAGGCAGATTAACATATACATGCCAAGGCCAGCATTAGTGAATTACAAAATGGTTCATAAGAAGGAAAACCTGGGCAGGGAATGGAGAGAAAAATTCATCTAAGAAGTTCCCCACTGAACCCCACTGGTTAGTCCCTGGGCCAACTAGTCTGAAGAGTGGGTTCTCAATGTGCCAAGGGACCAAAAAATAAAGAGTGAAACACTTATTTTTGGTTATTATTGGTTATGAATGTAAACAGGGCTGTCCCTGTTGTGTAACGGTATCAGCCAAATGATCAGACAAGTAGTGATGTGCAATTTCCACTTTACTAAACAATGAAAATCAACATAAATTGCACAGGGGATCATATGAACAAAACGTTAATATGAACAGTAAGGAAAACAGGGATAGAACATATGAAAACAATTCTACTGCAGTTATACTAATGGCCACTAGATGGCAGCAGGGTATTCTGAGTTCAGTTTACTGAGAGAAAAGGGAGATACAGAATCTCACGTGTCCAGTATAAGGAATCGTTCGTTCAACAAACTGTTAGCTGAGTGTATCTCCTGCTGGCACAGACTTCACACTGGCACTGCTGCTGCTGGCTTCGGTCAGGGGGTTCTGGTGACTGTAGATAGGGCCACCCCTCCAAATGGACTGTAACAGAGGCCTCTCCAGTGACTGGGGCTTGGACAGATGCTTTGCGCTCACTGTTGGTGGCCCGCACACCAGACTTAACAGGGGAGGACCCTGCACCTGGGGACAGCTCACTTGCCCAGTCACTGCTGTCCCATCGGGCAGGGTCTCTCTAAGCACAAGAAGCCGGGAGGAGCTGGCATTTATATCCCCTGGACATGTCCAGGAACTCAGGGGATGCTGGGAGGATTGTGGGGAGTTGAGTTAAAGGGACCTGCACCTGAATATGAATAAATAACTTTTTGCTGTTGAATATGAATAAATTCATATAACGCCACATCCCTATAATGAGGCAACCCAGGGTTGTTGCCTCAGACAGCTTCTCTTTTGGTCATGGGCCTGCCACCCTGTTTCTGGCTAGAGTGTCCCAGGTTGCAAGAGCCAGGAGATGAGATGTGTAAGTGCCATAAACATCTCCCAGCCCAGATCTTAGCAACCTGGGACACTCTGGCTGGCACCCCACCCAGCTTATGGCAACCAGTGATGTCAATGAGCTGGGTAGTATTATCTTCTTTTAAGAAGGCTTTACTGTGTTCAAAATGGCATGACCCAATGTTTTACAACATCCAGGGATAAATATTTAGAAATTGTAGGAATTATTACATTCTAACGTTAGATGGCAGTTAGAGAATCTTATAGAGGCTTATACACCAAGAAGAGGATGTGGTCCACAAAGGCATGGAGTAGAAAGACCTAGCTGTCAGGCAGAGTATACCTTTAAAGGAGAACTATGAGATGAGTGATTTCCACTCACCTCATAGTTCTAAGCCGACCTGTGACAATGAGACTGTCACAGGTCGGCTCAGTAGATCGGGAGGTGAGGGAACACATACCGGGTTCCCTCACCTCTCGATCCTGTCACGGCTCTCTGCCGTGACAGGGGGAGGGGCTGGATTCCCCTCTCCCCACTCCGATCTGCCAGCGCTGACTGGCGGAACGGACGGGGGAGGGGGCGGGTACAGCTAGCTCTGCCTCTAGATAGGCAGAGCCAGCTGTCACTCACGCAGCTGGGCGGATCCCGTCATCTACGTCGGGATCCGCTCCAGGTGCGGCGTCTCAGTATACCGCGAGCTGTAGCTCGCGGTATACTGAGCTAGGGTAACGGGAGGACGCTAGTTTGTGTCCTCCCGTTACCCTAAGGAGAACTATGGGGAAAAACACTGACCCCATATTTCTCCTTTAAACGGGCTAGTGTATCAAAGAGTAATAGTGTGCCTCTGTATAGTCCTGTGGGCTGTATCATAAGATCTAATTTAATCAAATAAAATCAATTTTAGTGTAGGTATAGCCACACATTTCTATTTTTTTAGTATAGTAGGGAAAGATTAAACATCTATCAGTTTATTTTTTACTGTCTATGTTCCCTTGGGGAGATTTCCCTTGACCTCCTGCTTCGGAGATGCAACAAGAAGAAAGGGGCACAAAGTGCTGGGAATTCCGTTTTTAGGCAGTTGTAACTGGACGATTTACCTTCAGTTCTTTTCTCATTTTGGATTTCCCATCCTTTTCTGGTCACCAAGACAAATAGAGAGGATTAAATCTACTTAGTAGCCACCCAGATTGCAGTAAAAACCTGACAGATTCTAACCCTTCGCTAACTCTATCTAAACCTTTAAAATTAGTTTTGGCTATACATGCCCTTTCATTGTACAGCATGAATATTTTGTACTTGGTCCCCAATTCTTTATTAAGAAAAACATAGTTCCTGTTCATAAACTACATTGTCAAAGAAGCTTTATCAAAGTTGGGTCTTGGGAACCAATATGGTCTTTATAATGCTGCTTTTTACTACTTTTTTATACCCATATTTTCCAACCGGTGCCATTACTTACTCATAGGCCAGGAGACTATCTTCACTTTGCTTTGCCAAATAGCTGCTTGGAGCATAACCCGCATGCCTGAAACAAAAAGATACAAATACTGTATATTGCTATACTTCACTCTTTTTGGTCTCTATGGAGAAAAGGAGATGATTGCCGATTGGTAAGGGCCATAGAGTAGATCAATCCAATTCCATAGGCCTTTGGATCTGCAGCCACATTTGCACTTATTAACTGTCTTATATATTGACTAGCAAGAGTGTGCCCTTTTGTTAAACCGGCTCAATACAGAAAGTTGCATCACTGCTGTGGCGTCAAGCAGAGAAGTGAGCAATGGTACAGTGGCTGTGAGCATTGGGGCCTGCGTTGCAGTGGCAGTGAGTGCAGAAGTGGGCTTTGGTGTACTGGCTAATGAAGTGGGGGCAGGGGGGAGGATGGGGGTCTGGCACAATGGTGAGAGTGGGGGTTGGTGCAGGTGTGGTGCAACTGAGGTTTAGTGTTAGCTGTTACAGGGAATCTGAATGTAAAGGGGCCTAGAGTAGGACATCAGACCTGGGATCTCTGTGGCAAAAACTACTGGTGCACTTATACTAATGTATTGGCCATACTGAGCATGTTAACTGCCTGGGGATCACAAACAATGGGTAAGTCTGTTGCAAACACTATGAGGGTTATTGGCGGTCTTGGGGATATAAAGGACACTTCTGCCAACATGTCTGTATTTTTTGAAACCCTCAGATTTATGTGGCAGCTGGGTAAAATGTTCACTTACAATTTCACAGAGATATCGGAGAGATATGTGTCTAAATTTCATCAGGGAGAGGCCAGGTTTGATGCAGTATTTGACCTTTGGCAAGTATGCTGCTGTAGCAAACACAATTCAAAACCCCTTTTACATCAAACTCTTTTGACCCCAAAAAAATGACATACTGAAACCCCCAAATTTTAAAACGATTGGGTGAGCTCATCAGTGTCCACCTACCCATTCTTATCCTTTACTTTCCACCAGTTTGGTTCAGAAGTGTCCAGTAACAGATATTCTTCTCCTCTGCGGAGTGCCAGCTCTGCCGAATTTTCTGTCGTGTAATCGTATAATGCCAGGGACCAGCCAGGCTCTAAGTTGCTTATCTGGAAATTTAAAAATGAGATAACTATTTTTAGATAATTGTATCCAAGTGACAGATGCAGATTCCACAACTTCCCCTTCTTAGTCAAAAATTGTAACTTATTTTTAATATATAGCTGTTTAGATCTCTAAATAATGTCTATGTTGTTACAGTTTATGCAACTAGGAGAGTTGCAAAGCTCCAAAGCTCCTAAGTCAGGCACACATTGTTGTCTGTATACACCTTGATAATTGAGTATCAGTTGGATCTATGCTTTGTTCAACCATTGCAGGGCTTTTCCAAATTTAAACCTGCTCAGCTATGACATACTGAGGCCCGTAACTTTGATGGGTAGCCTCATTGTTTGCTAGTAAGTTGCAGTAGAGGCAACCCTGGGCTGCCAATCAAAGAAGCTGTTATAATATTGCACAGCAGGTTTCAGTTCTCTCTGTGCTGTATGTAAAAGAACATGTTTTCCTGTCTTTTACCTGTTCACCACTTTTGAACAGACCTCAGATTCACTCCAAAGCTCAACTCTATCTTTCAAACAAATGGAAATACAATGGCCCATCAGGTGTAAAATAAAAAGCAACTATGACTGCAATACTCACCTCTTCTCCAAAGCTATCCCTCGCAGATTCACCACTTTACAATACAGCCTTAGTCCTTTTCTGGGTTGCATGATCCTCACCATCATCCAAACCTCTTCCAGTGAACCCAGAAACCAGGTTCACTCAAGCCCAACACCATCTTTCAAAAGAATGGAAAAACAATAGCCCATCAGGGGTAAAATAAAAAGCAACTCTGGCTGCAATACTCACCTCTTCTCCAAAGCTGTCCCTCGCAGATTCACAGCTTTACGATACAGCCCTAGTCCTTTTCTGGGTTGCATGACGCTCAGCATCATCCAAACCTCCAGTGAACCCAGACCATCATGGACATGCCCCCTAGGGGCTTGTTTTCACATTGGCCTAGACAGAGATTTCTGATTTACTGTATAGTACCAAGTTATAGAGACTCTGTATACAAGTTCAACATAAAGTCACATACATGAAAACACTCACCCTGTTGTCGTCTGGGGTGGGAGGCAGAGGTTTCCCTTAAAAAAAAGGAAACAGAAAATGTAAAATCCTAGAAAAAACATTGCATTTAATTAAAATTAATAAAGGACAGATCCATATGGTGTATGGGACTGTGGTACCTCACCATTAACAGAAGAATGTAAACATTGTTTTATTAAGAGCAGTACAGAAGAAATTAGTTCAATAGAAATATGAAATGTTAGCACTGCATGTTTTATTATCTTACCTATGAATAATTTGTATTTAGTAAGTACATAGTGTCCACCATATTTGTATATTATATCAACAGGTTTGACCTGTTTTGTTGGGCTGTACAATGGTTGTGCCTTGCTGACCCAAGCCTACTAGACAGGGTGTAACTTGCTGGAGAACAACAGACTCTTTACAGTCACCAATGACAGAAAAACCTACACTGTTCAATTTGCCAGAGACCATGTGATCTTTTACTAGGCTTTGGGTAACATAAGAGAGCTTGGGTGCTATAGCTTTTATACACAGCAAGAAGGAGGTAATTGCTTAAATTCAAAATAACAATTTACCCTATTGATTAATGTGAAATCTGCACTTTATTGACAGGTCCACTTTACAGCAGCTTGGACAGTTTTTGATTATAAGGGTTTGTACCAGGGCCAATAGGATCAAATCCCTGAAATCTAGTCCTTGGTAAGTTTTATGGTTTAGATTTTCTGACCACCCCGTATGAAATGCTTTACTATAGAGTAACATAAGAAAAGTAATACAAGTGCAGATATTCTGTATGGTATTTTGTCTTCTAAAAACTCAAAATGATCCTCTCACTTCTTCTTTTCACAAACTGTGTGTGAAACTGTCCTGTTGTGTGACAATGAGTTCTGTCTAGTGATTTAAGAATTCCTAACCTAAAGCTCGAGATTTCATAAAAACTCTAGGAATGTCTTTCCACAAAGAAAATGTATCTGGAAGATTAGAGTAAAGCTCTGTTCTATATAGTGCCGGGTTATTTCTCTAAACAACATGGCTTATGATTTTATTACATTGATCGTATTCTTTTCTTAAAGGAGAACTATGGGGTCAGGACTTTTCCCCATAGTTCTCCTTAGGGTAACGGGAGGACACAAACTAGCGTCCTCCCGTCACCCTAAGCTCAGTATACCGCGAGCTGTAGTGAGACACCGCAGCCGGAGCGGATCCCGACATCGATGTCGAGATCCGCCCAGCTGCGTGAGTGACAGCTGGCTCGGCCTATCTAGAGGCATAGCCAGCTGTACCCGCCCCCTCCCCCGTCCGTTCCGCCAGTCAGCACTGGTGGATCGGAGCAGGGAGGGGGGAATCCAGCCCCTCCCCTGTCACGGCAGAGAGCCGTGACAGGATCGAGAAGTGAGCGAACACGGGTATGTGTTCGCTCACTTCCCGATCTACTGAGCCGACCTGTGACAGTCTCAGTCACAGGTCGGCTAGAACTATGAGGTGAGTGAAAACCACTCACCTCATAGTTCTCCTTTAAGTGCTTTCATAGAGAACATGGGGCAAGTCATTAGTTCCTGTCTCAAAATGAGAACATACATACCCACAATGGTCCCTATTTTCATCTTTCATTCTAACTTGGTAAATTGTGATCATTAAAGCTTAGTGTGTTCCCCTTTGTTATCATAACTCGGGTTTGACTGTATATGTTTATAAATCCATGTTTTTTCTTATTTTAGGATGGAGTTTGGAAGGTTGGAACTCCTGTCAGGTTTTTATTGCTGTCTGTGTCCCTGTTGGGGAGAAGTAGAAAGGTTCTTGTCACACTCCCATGTAATAGGAAAGGTGCTCGTAATGACTGCGGATGGCACCACTGTATGCATAAGATAAATGTGAAAGATGTCACCAGCACACCGAAAATCCTTTTGGACTCATCAAATGCTCATTTTATTGAACAAGTTGTCAGAATGGATATAAGCGCTTTCGGGACCCTCGCAGGGTCCCTTCATCAGGCTTCAGCATTGATGTCAACATCAGGCTTCTGCATTCAATGCTGAAGCCTGATGAAGGAACCCTGCGAGGTCAGAGTACAGTCTGAATGAGTCAGATGACTTCCACTGATTTTCACCAGGTGTGGATTGGATCATCATCTGGTTTGCGGTCTGCACGATTTTTTCTGATTGAAGATCACTTTTCAGTTCACTTTTATCACTGGATTTGGAAGTCATCTGTCTCATTCAGACTGTACTCCGACTTATATCCGCATTAGACTTGTTATCACAAGGATTGGGTCACATTATATTTATCATTTTCACTATTTTTGCATGATTTGTGATTATATAGAGTTTGCTACGTTCAAAAATATCTCTCGGTACTGAGAATTTAATATGTTATGTCACATTGTTCCTTTCACTATTCACGATTAATGTATGAATTTTAGAGCTCAGCACATGATAGTAGTTTAATTATTGTACCCTGTAATAAATGTCTATTCATAATATAAATATGTTATGCAAAGAAGGAAAGAGCTGCATAAACCATCAGTTTGTAAAAAATAAGCTTAAAATAATACTTTTAAATATAAAAATACCCGTTATATAATTGTTCCTGTAATGTAATGTAATGATGAGATTTGAGATAAATTTTGTCTCCTAACAGGAAAGTGTTATGTGGGGAAAAGTGGGGATAAACAAAAGTAAATGGTACTTTGACATTCTCTGCATTTTACAATGAGTCCAAGGGGTACAAGGAATCATGTGAAAGGTTTTGTGTACTCTGTAAAACATACCGTAACTCCCAATTTGAGATAAGAAATTGGAACACCTCCTTGCCCCCTTTTCTTTCTTCACCCCCTTGCCACCTGGCACACTGCTTTCCGGACTCCCTTATCTGGATAGTTCCCTCTCCTCGAGATGGATCCCCGTTTTGAGGAACCTGGAGAAACTATAGTCAAAACTATGACCCACCTGACGATAGTTATTGTCCCCATGTACCTATGTTATTTGCATCATGGTTTTGACCGCTATACCGTGTATCTTACCTTCTGTCAAAATTCAATAAAAACTTTGAAACAAAGAAATTGGGACACCTTCCAGTACAATGTATTTAGGCAATGGACACATCCTCACCATGGCCTCAGTTATACAGATCATTAAGGATTTATATACCAAAAATGAATGGTAAAACCCAGCATTGTTTTTTTTTCACAATTACTTTTTATTTATTTTGACGTTTCAAAATAGCAAACAAGATAAATAAAAGATAACTTAAGGATTTTATTGCAGAAAAACACTTTATGGTAGGTAAGTAGCACATTTTCATAGATATCTGTACATCAGACCAAAAAGTGGGAAAGCTGAGGAGGGAAGAGGGACGGCGGGATCTGGTTCCAATACAGGACAGTTGAGAGGTATGTGTAAAATGCTACATAATGACTATATCAATAAAGAAAATACTTGTCCCCCCTTGGTCCCTGGAGAAACAAACCGCGGGGTCTACCCCCTCTACCTAGCCTCTAGCTCTTCAGACCTTGTTGACCCCAGCCTCACTTTGCCGGCCACCCACTCACCTTGGAAATCCGAGACCCCGCTTATCACCTGCATGGTCCCCCCCGCCCCTGGGATCAGCTTAGTTTGGATGTGGGGAACCGCTACACCGGTTCACTGTACAGGTCATTCCCCCCTGCTGGTCCATGGGTGAGGGGCTATGCGGTTTAGGCCACCGTAGTATGTCTTTTTATTATTGCCGCAAATGTGTTATACTTGTGTGCAGACGATTTATCTCTATACTGGTCCCGGTGTATGGGATTGTACACCTTTTTGTTTATGTCTATTTGTATTTGTTAAAAAAACCTGTTAAATAAAAGAATTTATAAAAAAAATAAAAATAAAGAAAATACATATTTGTAGTGTGAGTTTGTAAAACAAAATTCAAAACAAAGAACTCGACCCTCGTATTACTACAGACCAGATCCTCATTCACCAAATTACTATGTTAGACCACATTCATGCTTTTCAGCAACAACAAACAGAATTCATTGTCACTTCCTGTCCCCTTTGGAAATTCCCTGCCTAACCTTAACGTCACTTCATCTGTTTCTGAAACCACCAATAGGTCTCTCGCCCTCGCTTTCCTTTCCCAGCTGCACCCAGTCTAAAAACAATTACATCTTTATCTTCAATCCCTCTACCAGTTCACTAATTTATACTACTATAGTTCAATTCAATGATCAGCCAAAGCTTCATGTCAGAGATTTACAGAACTCTGGGCAAAACTCAATAATAATACAAACAACAAGTGTATATTAATACACAATTAAAAATTCCCTAAATCTGTGGCCCTTAGCAAAAGAATTAAACTTTACAGGGTTATTCGCCAAGCTGCCAAAAGCAGCCGAGTGAATAACCCAGCCGAAGTGAAGTGAGCCATACGCTGTTCGGCTATTCACTTCTTCTCAGTACTGCTGATTTACTCTGCATGTTCGGATGAGCCGAAGTGCAGAAGGAGTTCGACTCATCCAATCCAACATCTGGATCGGCTGAGCCTGAAGCTCCAGCAGCTCACTCGCTGCTGTTCGTCCCTATTCTCAGGGGCCGAACGCCAGTGAGTGAAAAGCCGAATGCCGCCGAGCTATATTCGGCTTGGCTATTCTGCTCGGTATCTCGGTACTAGAAAATAAGTGAAATAAAGAAGAAAAAAAAGTTGAAAATTGTTTTAAAATGTATGAAAATTAAAAAGAAATGAAAATAAAAAAAAGAGAAAATGAAAAATAATTTTAAAAAACACCGGCAAAGATTCCGGCAAAAGAAAAACAATTGGGCGGAGTTAGCAGTGACAGCTAGCTCTGCCCAACTGTTTTCTATTGGCCACCTCCGCCAGGTCCCGGCCAATGAATAACAACTGGGCAGAGCCGGACGTGACATCATGGCCGGCTCCGCCCAGTTGTTATTTTTTTAATGACAGATCAGCGTCCCCAGATCATTTGGGGACGCTAATCTGTCATTACAACTGGGCAGAGCCAGCTGTGACCTCACGGCTGGTTCCGCCCAGCTGTCATTTGCGGGGCAAATGGCCG